ATAATAATAATAATAATAATAATAATAATAATAATAATAACCCTCTTGTGATTAACATCATACCCAACCATTGTACCAAACACCATAGCGAAACCACCATCAAATTAATGTTGTTGCTAGACTTTCATTATTCGACAACCTTCTCCTAATCACTATGATCATCATCCAATCTCTATTACACTCACAAAAGTTCAAGTTAGTGTTCCGAATTTTATAATTTTGTATTCTTTAATTAAAGAGATAGGGCAAGCAATGTATCTTTTGTGTGTGTTAGATCTCCGTATTAAGATTAAGGCATTAAGTTATTTTTTTTTCGCATGCAACAAAAGTTGATGTGTAATTAATCCGACAAATACAACATTTTTTTTAATTTTTGAAAATAAATAAAATAGAAAACAATAAACTAAAAAAAATCCACAATGGAGCTTATATATTTGGGAAATTTACATAAAAGACACACAATTAGTTTGTATTTACATACAAACTCCTAAAATTTGATATTTACATTTGTAATATTTTTATAACCTAAACTTGGAAATGTACTTTTATTTTGAAAAGTTATAATAATGATACTTTATATAATATTAAAAATTTAAGTATTACGTATATAAAAATTAAAAATTTAGGTGTTAAAACATTCAAATACATAAAAATTTAGTGGTACGCATCTAACTTAATCTTTATGTGTGCTAGAAAATTCATGGTCGCAGATTAACAAATTATTATCTTAGTATTGTACGAGAATCCGTCACACATAGATAAAATAAAATAATCAGTGGCGACATCTAAATTTTTTACGTGGAAAACTTGAAAAGAGAAAAAATCACGAGGCTTCGCCTAATTAAAATTTTTCACTATGAGTTGATTACAAACCCAACATTTTATCCCACTGGAGGAAAAGGGTTACACAGTTTCTCAGATTACAATGTTAGTGAGCAGAAGAACTTGTTGCCCTGCAGTAGGGAGCGATCTCAGCTAGGAGTGAATGCTGGAGTTTCAAAGCACCATCTTTGGGGTCAACACACCGTTCGTGATGACGTGCAACTTCGTAGGTTTTTACATGATTGTGCGGTGTCGGTGGTTGCTTCACATAGAGATTCACCATAAAGAGCGGGCGGCGGTAAGATATGATTAGAGGCGACGGTGGCCAAGTTGGCTAGAGTGGAGGTTGTGATGGCTGTCGAAGCAGTGGTCGGTGGTGGTTGGAAGTTGCAGGAGTATAAAGTGTGTGCCATATCGTCGGTGCAAAATCTTGGGCTTTAGCTCCCTCTTCTACAAGCTTTGGTCTTCCACGGGCTCAGAGTTTAGTCCCTTCTCAAGGTGGGGTAGAGCCCTATTTATAGTGTCTAGATTACAAATAAGGAAGAAATTCATACCACTTTGATCGAACTAACTCTAAGAGAAACTCTTCATTGGATGTCAAACATTTGAGTACCTTAAAGATGTCGAAATTGAGTGATAATTGGCTCGTTGCATTCATTTCGGAGATGCTCGGTTCTACTATAAGCATGTCAAATTAAAAATCCATTTGATCTTCCAATCATGCCCGAAAAACTTTTAAAAGTGACTCTGATTGGATCAACTTTAGCACTATTGGATCAGTCTCGTCGAACTAGTCAATTTGGCTGTAAGTTTGCTGAAATCGAAGCTCTAAATAAATTTTAATCGAATTTTGAATATTTCTTACACAAAAAACTGACTTGAGATCTATCATACATCAAGATTCATGTCGGATGGTAGAAATTTATTGATGGCTCATCGTTTATATTATTTTTAGATTTTGAATAAAGAGAAGGGAGCATGTATCTAATCAAATAAATATAAGGGTGTCTTGGGGGCAACGATGTGGTGAAGATGTGATGGTATTCTATACTTTTTGTGTTCGGTAAAACTATATTTTGTTTGTTTTTTTTTTTTTAAACTATGATTTACAATCAAATCTAAAGCTGCCCTCAACACACTCTAAGATTAAAAAGAACCTTTTAAAAAATTCATCCCTTCATTGTCTAACATATATATATATATATATATA